TTATTATTTATATATATATATATATATTTATTATTTTTTTAATTAATAAATTAATAAGATTGATAATTGATACATCAATTTAATTGTCACCTGACTATTTTCTCAGCTTTATCGAACGTTTGAACAATCTCGTCCTTAAACGGAAGTGATACCGTGATTGGTCTCGAGCTTGGATACAAGTAACTAGCTTCGAAATGATGACCACCTCTTCCTTTGCCAGGAATTTCTTCGGGTTCATCGACAACGTCATACTTGTGATTGGCATATACAATGCTGCTACTCGAAGATCTCATTGAAACGGGAACACTTCGAGGTGGTAAATAACTATGCACGATAGACGGCAATTTTGTTGGGCTTGTCATTAGTATTCCGCACGTCATGTAGATGCACGTTACCTGAATTAAATCAATGAAAAGACCATTGGAAAAGAAATCGACGAGAAAATAACATTTTATTTTTATGATGACCTTTTTCAAAACACTATCCGACGATTAAAAATAAATCTTAATAATGTTATTTCAATCTTACTTAATGATCTAACTTTGGTAAATTATTGTTTAAACCGTTCGTAACATTCTTGATATAATTGAGTATTAAAAATCCTTTGAAGGTAACCGTACTCCTATTGACATGTATTTGGATTTATTAGGGGTATATCTTGTCCTTAATTATACTAGGAATGTTTATAACCCTCTTATAATGAATTACATTGAAACTCGACTATTATAATTTATCAGAAATTGAATAAAATCTCATATACTTTGAAATCACTTTGCTGTGTAAAGAATTTATGATTGTGACGAGTATAAATAAACGAGTACAGCTGGATCGAGTTATTATATCTGTATACAATTCTTAGAAAAAGTTATATATTACCAAGAAAAAGAAGAGTATTTCTTTGGATGCGTGGCCCATCATCCGACACTATCTTGAAAAGAACTAAAACGTCTGTAGGCACTTCGCGTTCCATTTATACCGTAGGACGTTTCGTTCGCTAAGAGCTAAGCCTTGTCTAAGGCAGGAAGTACATACAACGACTACATATCTATCCACTCGAAAGATTTCATCGCTTTCCCTTTTCGGTTTCCAACCAAACGCCACCGGACCGACCCCTTGTGTGTTGCACTTTTAATGTGTTCCGACATTACTTTAAAAACGAATTAAATGTTTCATTATTATATTGCCTTGATCGGAATTAACGGGTGGATACCTTTTGCTTTTTATTATCACACAATTATCTATATTATTACGGTCAAATAATATTCATTATATTGTATTTTAAATGTCATTTAAAATATATATATAAATCGATAAAATTTGTAAAATATTATTCATTTGAAATTGCACGCCATTAACTAATTACTAGTTCTAATTTCTATGTTCTATAGATCGACAGTATATAAAGCCGAGACAATATCACTAGGATATAAACGTAATTTATCGATAATTGAGGTTTTCAACACAGTTCTATTCCACGGAGAGAGCATGTTGGACATTCATCAATATTCAATTAATATGCGATATATGAGAAATATTAAATTCAATCAGAGTGAAAATTAACACTTCAAAAATCGCAATTTCATGTATACAAGTATGTATAACTAATATTACAATAAATGATATTTTATTATTCATATTTCTACTTTAATTTTATTTAAAATTAATAATAATTTAACAATTAAATTCACAATCTTTAATTTACATCAAAAAGATTGAATATAACAAACAAAAATAATTTATTTATTTAGAAATTTATCACAAATGGAAATTTAATTAATGATCTATACGAATAATTATAGATCAATATATAGAGTGCGCTATGTTCTTATATGCGCTTTTATCCTTTGTCGATAAGTTAGGTTTCTCTATAAAAACTCATAAGATAAAATAATTTTGACGAGCCATCTGATGCCAAATGGAAGTAAACTTTCTGGACATGTTCCTAAAAAATTAGGATTATCACCATCTGACTGTTATTTATTTTATGTTCCCGCAAAAACTTTTTACCAGATATTATATTTGTATAAGACAAACCGAGAGTTGATGATTATTAGAATTTAATTATTATTAAAAATGGATATTGGAGATTCACAATTACATCGGTTGCGTATAACAGATGAAATAGGAACAAAATGTCAGAAATTATTTCAAGATTTTCTAGAAGAGTAAGTTCTATTATTATACAATCATTTTAAGAACAAAATTGTTTATCAAATTATTCACACACACAAAATTTTCATTGTTTCTTCTAATAAATTCTTTTAGAATTACTTTATATTGATGTTGAATGTTAGGTTTAAGGAAGATGGTACTGTCAAGTATGTGGAAGCCGCTAAAGAATTAATAAGTCCAGAACGCAGTACTTTGGAAGTATCCTTCGATGATGTTGATTCATATAATCAAGCATTATCTACAACTATAGTTGAAGAATATTACAGGTTACTATAAAATCAATTTATCTGTTCATACAAAGATCTCTGATAAAAAGCATAACTTAATAATATATGTACTATTTATTTTATTTAGAGTGTATCCATTTCTTTGTCAAGCGGTGTCAAATTTTGTAAAAGATAGAGGAGAACTGAATAAAGATAAAGAATGTTATATTAGTTTTGTCGACGTACCAACAAGACAAAAGCTTAGAGAATTGAATACGACTAAGCTTGGAAGTCTCATTCGTATATCGGGACAAGTTGTGAGAACGCATCCTGTTCATCCTGAATTAGTACTTGGTACCTTTATTTGTATGGATTGCAATGCAACTATTAAAAATATAAAACAACAGTTTAAGGTAAATTCAAAAAAATATTTTGTTAACTGTATTACTTGTGTATCATATATCAAATTAATTATAAAAATTTATATTTATAGTTTACGAATCCAACGATTTGTCATAATCCTGTTTGCAGTAACAGACGTCGATTTATGTTAGATGTGGACAATTCCGTATTCATAGACTTTCAAAAAGTAAGAATGCAAGAAACGCAAGCAGAATTGCCTAGAGGATGCATTCCACGTTCTCTTGAAGTTATTTTAAGAGCGGAAATAGTGGAAAGCGTACAAGCTGGTGACAGGTATTTTTATAATTGTCTATTGAAAATATGTAAACCTTATTTTTACATGTATTTTCATTTATACTTTTTGTATTACAGATATGATTTTACTGGTACGTTAATAGTAGTACCAGATGTAGGTGCATTATCTTTACCTGGTATAAGATCAGAGCCTATGTCAAGACATAAACAGGGTGATCAAGATGAGGGTTTTACAGGACTTAAAGCACTCGGTGTCAGAGATTTAACATACAAAATAGCATTCCTTGCTTGTAGTATTACAGCAACAAGTCTTAGGGTGATTGATAAATGTTATTAGAAATATTAAAAATGTTAAAAGTTACAATTAATGCTAATATTTAATTTAATTATAGTTTGGTGGACATGAAATGGTTATGGAAGAAATATCCCAAGAAATGATGAAGAAACAAATGACCGAGGGAGAATGGAATCGAATATATGAGATGAGCCGTGATAAAAATCTTTATCAAAATCTATCAACCAGCATGTTTGCTGCGATACACGGTAATGAAGAAATTAAAAAGGGAATAACGTTAATGCTTTTTGGAGGAGTCGGGAAAACTACGGAAGAAGGAACGTCGTTAAGAGGAGACGTCAATTGTTGTATAGTTGGAGACCCAAGTACTGCTAAATCACAGTTTCTTAAAAGCGTTACTGATATGTCACCTAGAGCAGTTTACACATCTGGTAAAGCATCTAGCGCCGCTGGTTTAACTGCAGCTGTAGTCAGAGACGAAGAGTCTGGAGAATTTGTAATTGAAGCTGGTGCTTTGATGCTTGCCGATCATGGCATTTGTTGCATCGATGAATTTGATAAAATGGATCCTAGAGATCAAGTAGCCATACACGAAGCTATGGAACAACAAACAATTTCATTGGCTAAGGTAAATAAAAAGAAAAGTAAAATAGTCTATTATTTTATATTTATTATATATTTATTATATATTTATACGCGCGCGTTCCAAATTTGTAGGCAGGCGTAAGAGCGACTTTGAATGCTCGAACATCTATACTGGCGGCAGCTAATCCTATCGGTGGTCGTTACGATAGGAAAAAATCATTGCAACAAAACATTTTATTATCAGCACCTATTATGTCAAGATTTGATCTTTTTTTTATTTTAGTAGACGAATCTAACGAGATAATAGATAATGCTATCGCTAAAAGAATAGTTGATTTACATTGCGACAATATACAAGATATCGAGGTCATATATACTCAAGCTGAAATTATAAGATATATTAACTTTGCGAAATACTTCAAGCCCGTTCTAAGTCAGGTGAGCATTTTTGGAAAAAAATGAAAATTTACTTTGTGCTATCTGATTTATTAATTGATTCATAAAAATATTCAGGAAGCTTCAGAACTGTTGATAGAATGTTACACAACAATGAGACAAAGGACAGGTAGTGGCTCAGGAAAATGGAGAGTTACAGTAAGACAATTGGAAAGCATGATCAGATTATCAGAAGCATTAGCTAAACTCGAGTGTGTAGATGAAGTTACTGTTAAACATGTTAAAGAAGCTAAACGTTTGTTGAACAAAAGTATCGTTACGGTTGAACAACCAGATATTGATTTAGAAGACGTAGACATGGAAGCAAACTCAGGTGTGAGAATAGATGATCCACCACCACTTATGGCTGCGTTCAATGAGATGGATCAGGATGATAATAATGCGCCTACTTCGCGTAAGTTTAATTATCTTTTTATATTGATATACAAAAAAGATAACAATAAAAAAAATTAATTATCTTATCACAGCAACAACCGAACAACCAGAAATACAAAAGAAAAAGCTTACCATGTCATTTGAGGAATACAAAAATTTGTCGAATATGTTAATACTTTACATGCGAAACGAAGAAGCTCGCGTTGAAAGCGAAGGTAAACATTTTTTTTACGCTTTAAATTAAGTTCTATTATGTTAATTAGAAATTTAATGTTTGTTCTGTTTTTTATACAGGTGATGGTAAAGAAGGTGGAATACGTAAATCCGATTTGGTTGTGTGGTATCTCGATCAAATACAGGATCAAATAGATTCTGAAGAGGAATTATTAGAGCGTAAAAATTTCATTGAAAAGATTGTCGATAGATTAACTTATCATGTATGTATCAGAATATTTATTAATCTATTTCTAATGTTATCAGTTTAATCATACTTATTATTATTTTTACAGGACCAAATTATTATACCTCTTACTACGAAAGATTTAAAAAGCAAAAGTAAAGAAGTCGAGGAGGAAAAAGAGGATGATCCTTTGTTAGTTGTACACCCTAATTATGTTTTAGATGTGTAATAGTTTTTTTAATATTATCAGTAACAATTTCATACAAATCCAAGTGCCTTAAAATTGCTGAATATTTTTATACCTTTATGATATTTTGTAATAATCAAAAGATATCTGTATGAAAGAAATAAAACAATATGTTTTTTTTTTAACAATAAACAAATTATTTTTTATTTAAAATTATAATCAGAAAAATGTGGTGTACATTTCTACGAAAATTTTTAATAATTATTACCTCTAATAAAAAAAGGTGATAATGTTAATTGTTTCTTCTTAAACGTATGTTAATTGTCTGATAAATTAACGATGCGTTTGAAGTGGGTCAACGATTAGAACAGTTTAGTTTATTCAGCGATGTTACTCTCCTGTTAGAATTGCACATTTGATCTTACTAAATAGATTTTATTTATAAATTGAAATGAAATGTTTCGTTAAAAAGTCGTATTATGTTAGAAAATTGAATGCGGCAAGATAAATTGAAGAAAGTATATCTTTTATCTGTACCTACAAAGTTTTACGAGTTAATAAAAACAATGTACACATTTTTATCGTCTTAATACTTATCTTCATGTGGTGGGGTAATCTAGAACAGTGATTAAGAGGACTCAGGTGTTGTCAGAAGATGATGTTCTTTATGCGAATTCACGATGCCTGAAGAAAAACTTCGTACTCTTTCTTACAATGAGGTAAATTAAACTTGTAATTTAAACAAAAAAAAATACATTTAAAACAATTATTGTTACCCTCATTAATTGATTAAATTTAAATTCACCGGTGGATATGAAAAAATTTCAATTGAAAACTCTACAAAATAAGTTATTATTTAATAAATAATATAAATAAAAAATAAAAAAATTACGTGCGCGCGCGCGATTAATTTATTTGATATTTAATATAATTATTAATTAGGAACGTCCGCGTGGTGCATGCATCGGTGACTTTGTTCTTTTGAAAAATGTGTTGTCGGAAAAGAACAAGCCGATTTGGGTTCCCTTACAATTATTGGATGCTTTATTACGAGGCTACGGGCAAGTGAGTGAAACCATTTATTACAAAATATTGATTATGATTAATTAAGTAGATAAAAGCCTTTTCAAGATGCCATGAATTCAATAAGCAAGAGACAACACACTTTAGATCTAACTTTATCTAAATCGAAATATTTATATAATCTATTAGGTCGTGTTTGCTAATAATCCACTAAGTGGATTATTAATAGTAATCGCTTTAGGAGCAACGGCACCAAAGATCTTGGCCTTTTCTACTGCTACTGGTTTTCTAGGTCTTTTACTTTCCATGGTACGTGCACGATATCAATCATTTTTACATAATAATAATAATAATAATAATAATAATACAAATATTTCTCGTGTCATGCGTTCGCGCAGTTTAGAAAAGAAAAAATAAAATATTACGATTTATCATTTACACATGCAATATTTTTCGCTCATGATTATTATCTTATTTGTTTATAACGCGTCATCCGAAAAGTTGACACAATTATTCTGTCGCAATGCGCAAATTCTCGATCATAATTTAGATTTTGTTTTGTTTTGTAATATTTCATTTGCAGCTGATGAAAGATTCTCAACAAGTTATAGAAAATGGATTGACGGTGTTCAATCCACTTTTAGTCGGTGCACTGTCAGCCGGTTTGGTACCAAATTTATATGGCGAATTCGATGCTTTTAGTTATTTGCTTATACTCATAGGAACAATAACGAGGTGAGAATAATTTTATGAACATTGGAATAAAATGACGAATTATTTTAACGATTCAGAGATAGGTAATTCGGCTGATAATGAATTTTTTCAGTGTTTATCTGACTCGTTCTTTGGGAAACAATGAAATTCCGAGTATAACGTGGCCTTTTAATCTGGTCGAATTAGTATTACTTTTTATTCTAACAATGCAAGATAACTTAGTCGATTCGTTAAACATTCAAGCAATGGTAAATATGAATAATAACGAAATAATTGAAAATAATTCTCTGCGCCACAGTGATCGAGAAAAATTCCCCCTGAAAAAAGAGATCACCCCCCGTCGAATCGTATTTCTTGAACAGAAATATCTACATTTCGCGACCAAAGCAACACAATTATTTTGGAAAAGGGCTTCCCATTTTAGAGTATATATATATATATTTCACGAGGGAAAATACAAACCCTAGCAACACCCTCACGCAAACGGGTATAACTTTCCCTCTAGTATTGATCAAGCTCGGTCAGAATTTCGGTTGACAATGATATTCCTTCAACTTGGATTTCGGACCAACGTCAATACTCATCTATTTTTTTTCTTTGTTCTTTTCTTTGCAAATATTTTGTATCGATAATAATTTAAAAAGAAAAATAAATCAAATAAAATATTAGAATTTGTGTGAAGGAGAATGCGATTGGAGAATATTAGGAAAATTGTATAAAATAACAGAAACATATCACTATGGCGTATGAGGAACTGTGTACAAACTCGAGATGTTGCTGCTAGCTACTTGTACTTTATATTCTCGTTGTTTCGAGGACAATGCAACAAGTGATGGAAGGACAGACGATGCCAGTTTTATCACAGCAAATGTAACAGATGTTAACGTCGACTGGGGAATGGTAAAGATCAACTATCTCTTCTGTTTAACTCGATTTCAATGCATTTTGTTCTTCGAACTCGAATGTATACAACCCCACCTCGATCAAAGGATCGGTACATTTTCAAAACAATTAATTATTCAACAGTATAAACGGAATATTTTCATTATTTTTCTTGTTCTTATAACAGATCTTCCGGGGTATGGTCGTCTCGTCATCCCAAGTATTCGGCGTTGACAATATTGCAGCAGGAGCTACTATTTATTTGGCAGTTTTAGTTTATTCTCCAACTACTGCTGGATTTTCTTTCGCAGGTGTATTTATTGGCACACTAACAGGTACGTGTATGTACATCCTTTTAAACATTAATTACTATTCGTTGTTGAACTCTCGCATACCTAACTACAAGCTTATTTTCTTAGGCTTAGAATTTAGGGTACCACACAATGAGGTATTCTCAGGATTGTGGGGATTCAACAGTTTCTTGACTGGCGCCGCCTTAGGGGGTAATTTATTCGTACTTAATGTACAAACTGCTGTTGCAACCCTCGTAGCCATCGTTTACACTGTAATACTTCAATACGTCCTACGAATTCTATTAGGAAAGGTAAATTGAATATCGTTAAAACGATACGATAGGTAATCGTATTAAATCGTAATCGTATTTTCTTTTACAGATCGGTTTACCAATTTTAACGTTACCCTTCGCAATAAGCACGAGTTTGTTCGTAAAATTGCGTAGCGCGTCGTCGGATTCAATATTTCCTAAACCACTGCAGTATTCTTATCCCGAAAAACAACGTCAAGATTATATTACATATAGAAAGAACATCAAACAAGATAGCGTAGGTATAATTAAATTTATTTTCATTATAAAATATCTAACATACAAGATTTTATTTGCAATTTTCTTTTTTTTTTTTATATATATATAACTCATTTTCATTACCTCGCCGAATGAATCATCACAAGATAAACAGGTAAATCGCATAGGATCTATTAATAATACTCTCAAATTTGATAAATACGTAAATAATAATAAGATCGAAGTATTATCAAAATCACTCCCACTTGAGTGATAATAGCAAACACCGGCTATGATATCTGTGTAGTTACGTTTTGAAATATTTCCAGTATTCCTCTCAGTCGGTGTATCTTCGAAGTCATAGCAACGCATGTATCTAATCGGTAAAGTTAAAACAAGCATCGAGAAATGCATCTTCATCCTATCTCTATTTATTTTTCATACATCAAACATTACTTCTCTTGAAATAAATAAACACACAGGAACACGCGCAAACATACATAAGATTAGACTGAAGTAAAGCTTTTAATTGGAGATGTCTATGTATCATCATGATCATCATCATCATCGTTATCGTCATCATCATCACCAACGTGGCAGCATCCCCCAAAGAGGGAATGAAAACCACGCCCTTTTGGAGCTGGCAGCTCCGAACAAATTGATTTTACCCTTAGCAAGTTATTCACCTTATTTTGTAGGAGGAGTTTGAGAGAGAGTTAAAGTTTCTCTTTTGATACGGGTTAGAAAAGGATAGCCGATTTAGGTTGGATGTTAAGCGTCGAAGTTAAGCTTAACTCGTAAAAAAGGGGTGAAACGAAGTATTCAAAAGATCAACTTCTGCGCTTTTCGGTTAAAAAAAATCGACCGGAATTTAACGAGTTGTTTTTTTCTATTTTAATCTAGGTCGAGGATTCCGAGATGGACCCTGCGCTTCCTTAGAATCAGCAGATCAAATAAACTGCTTCTTGGAATTTAATAAAATATGTTATGTTAGGTAATATTTATTGTATTTGTTATTTTGTATCGGAAAAAAAGTACGGAAGGAAGATCGATAATAAGTCTACGTTTTTGTTTGATCTTTCGATAAGTCACGAATAAGAATTTTTCTTGGATAGGAAGATTTGATAGTTCCATCAAAGTGGAATATCTAAAATGATTTTTATTGCTTCAACAATTTCACGGATGAACGAGAAAAATTTGGAATAAACGGAAATAGATCGATACTTTGATCGACATTCCGTGTGTTTACGAAAAGATTGCTTATCCTCGAAAAGAAATTCTAATCTTGGAAAAAGATTTTCTACTTCTTTTTCCCATAGAATATACATGTTTATTATATATGTATAAAATCAAAGTAGGGACGTGCTAATCTACTTATCACAGAAACGCTTAGAAACTCCGACGTTAAATTCGCGAATTAAATTCGGGAACATTTGAAGAATAAATCTGGAACGATAAATATTTGGATGAAATGCACTAGCAAGTAAAAAGCCACAGGTCGATCGATCAAATTTCTAAGACCTACTACTTTCACTTCACTTGCTTGGTATATAAATTCAGTCATGATATTTTATTGGCTAACTCGTGAGATTTGCAACACGTGCACAATGCAATCTTTCCATTTGGATGGTCAAATATCGATTTTACGATACCCACAAAAAACGTTCATCTTCTGCGCGACATAAAAACGGTGTTCCTCCCATTGGCATCGAAAAATATCGCAAATCTTTTTTTTAAATAGGAGTAAATAAAAAATAAAGATAAATAGATAGGACGATGCAATATAAAAGTTGGTGGTGGTAGATCGTAGAAAACTTTTCTTCAATCGTATAGAGAAAACTAATACGACGACAACTACTGGAGAAATTTCATGTAAAACTCTGCATGATGATGATGCTGCTACTACTGCGGTGGATAAAATCTATGTCCTCGAACAAGACGACGACTATTACTACTGGCTGTTATCAGCTCTAGTTCGATATCGTTATCACAAAATTCCATTTTCATTCTATACGTTTTATATGAAAACTTGTAAGATTCTACATAAAGGATAATATAGAAAATTCTTTTACATATATGGGGTGCTATTTCAATGGAAAATAACTCTAAAAACTTTCTAGAAAAGATATAGATCCTATCGAAAATAGCCGATTAAGAGAAATTCTTTAAACGTTATTCCATTTATATATAAGATAAATCGGGATAATACGATTATGTAGTTTCCATCTAGCAGAAATCCAGTTTTAGGATATGAAAAGGAGAATGATAAAAATGGGCGCCACCACCGATCGAAGTGGTCCAATAACACAACTATTTCTTTTTACGATCTTCTTCTTCTTCTTCTTCTTATCACATATACAAATATTCGATTTCACGTAGAAACATACACACACGCATACGCGCATATACGAATACAATTTTTATCGGAAGAAAAATAAGAGAAAACGAATACAAAAATAATATATCCGGGAGTATATTAAAAAATATTACATATATATTTCATAATTTCTTATACAGTGTACTCACGACGCACATGAATATAAGAAAATAGAAAAAAAAAGAAAAAAAATCGGGTAAAACGTAATAATGAAGAAAGCAGAAGTACTTGGTACACAAAATTAATACGATACGGCAAATGGAAACAATGCGAATGCCGCAGTACCAGTACTCTATAATAATCTACGTGTACATATACGAGTTAGATCCACGTACACGAAAACGGAATAAAAGCAACGAAAAAAATAAAAAGAAAGAGAGAAAGTATTTTTGGTCGTTAACAAAGAAGCAACTCGAAAATTCCGACCCAACTGTATGGTTGAAACTGGCGCGGATCCATCGAGAGCAAAAGCCCCACTGCGGAATGGGGTGGTGATATGTATTAATCTGGTTGATCGTTTGAACTCAAAAGCCATATCAAGTTCATACGTTGAAGAGATATGTCGAGTAACACGTCACGCTTTGATATTACGGTTCAGTTAGATATATCACATACAATATATATATATTACAAACGACAATAGTTCTCATTCTATGGTAATCGAAGAAGCGACTTTAGCCCCCATCGATCGATCGAGCGTTAGCTACGGTCATACAGGTAAATATACGTATATGCGTGTATACGATAATATGCGAATAATATCTCTTCGGTTAAATCTTATGCGTTTTTGTATCGACGGGTGATATGAGAGAAAAATAAATGGCAACAGGGAAACACAACGAGGTTTTTGGATAAGAAAGAGAGAGAGAGAGAGAGAGAGAGAAAGAAAAATAGAAAGTACAGAGAAAAAAGTGAGAGAGTGAGTGAGTTTTTCTTCAACGTTGAACAGCAACATTTATTGCGTCAGTAGGTGGATGAAAATGATGAGGAGGTTGTGCTGCTGCTGCTGATGGTGGCGGTGACGATGGTGGTGGTGGTGGTGGTGGTGGTGGATGATGTGGGGTAAACGTGGAGGTGGAAGAGAGGGTAGGTAAGGGATAGTTGGTAGGGGTGCTTGTGTAAGGGGTGGGGAGTGGAAGTGAACGCATCCCTGCCAGAACGACTACCTGCCCACCACCACCAGCCTGTCTGCTACACGACGCTACTATCCTCCCCAGTATTCTGCCGATCGCTAGCACTCGCGCACGCAACACAAACCCCTTCGTCGTGACGTGTAGACGAGCCTTACTTTTATTTCTTTTTCAAATATATATTAATATATAATAAGAACTATATATAGTTTATCCGTACGATCAAAAACTTAGAATATAGCTTTGTTTTTCTGCGACAACCGTGTATAATTTTATAACGTGCGTTTCTAATATCATTCATCAATCTTTCGTTTAAATCGTACCCTTTCTCTCTCTCTCTCTCTCTCTCTCTCTCTCTCTCTCTCTCTCTCTCTCTCTATCCTTTTCTTTTCTTTTTTTTTTTCTAGTCTTCCTTCAATTCCACGCATACTTGGGTACAAATTCTTACGCGATACGCGAAAATATATGATAAAAAAAGCGCGCGTGAGAAGCTTAGTTGAACCGCAGTGACTTTCTGAGAAACCCTTCGAAGAATTTTCGAGGCCAGACAGAGGAGCCAGTACACTAGCGTGAATTTATTCTTTTGCCCTACCACGATAACCTTTTCCCCCTTCTCACCCTTTTTCTCTCTCTCTCTCTCTCTCTCTCTCTCCCTCTCCTAACCTTTTTCTATTCACGAGCTATAGTGGACACCGTGACATCTGCGCTAACTGCAATGTGTACAACGACTTTTGGGCTAGCTCAACCTACGAGCTTTCAACCCGTCGAGATCAAATTACCTTTACGTCTTCCCCTAATTTTCTCTATCTATTGCTATCTATTTTGCATTATTTATCATTTCGTTCCATTTTTTTCTTCACTTTGTCTTTCTTTTATTCTATAATACCAAGGTATCAACATTATTTGATACCTTAATACAGCAAGTTTGGAAAATTTGTATCGAGATCGATGAACTCGTGACACTTCTGCATGCATCTATCTATCTCTCTTTCTTTCTTTCTCTCTCTCTCTCTCTCTCTCTCTCTCTCTCTCTCTCTCTCTCTCTCTCTTTATCCAATTATCTCCAATAGGAGAGGCTCTTTAAATTTCGAGCCAAGGAGAAGATAAACCTACTTGGACATCAACTGAATTTTTTAAACTAACGGGATACTACATCTCCGAGAAGATACTTCTTAGAAAAAATAAATCGAAGAGATCAACCTTTCTTCTTTTTTTTTTTAACGAATACTTTACCATCATCGTCATTCCTCAGAAAGAAGAAGAAGAAGAAGAAGAGGAGGAAGAGAAGGAAGATAAATTTTTCGGATTTTCGACGAATCGTCAATGGCCTGTGGAAGAACAAACCAAAAAATAAAATAATATTCGTTCCCATTTTGTTCTACGATATTTTTCGTTTTGTCTCTCATGAACGAAGAAGAATGAGAATTGGCGAATAATAAGACCAACCGTGACGCTTGGAGTTTCTTCTTCTGTTCATCCTCGTTCATCCCCCTCCTTATCTTTATTTTCGATTTAAAAGTCTCCCTTTCATCTTGACAAGCAGTATCAGCCTGGTTTGATTTATGAGCAGTGTAATCGATGAGAACACAATACTATCCTGTTGCGCATTACATGCGATAAGAAAGAAAGAAAAAAAGAAAGGGGAAAGAAAAAAAAAAGAAGATAGGGAGTGTGAGTGAATCTTCAGAAGGAAAAGGAAAAAAAACGCAGCAGCAGTAGTTCGCGAGTAAAACATATCAATCACCAAGAAAGTTTAGCAAGGAACGTGAGATGAATCAAACTGTTGTCGTCTCCCACGCTTCGAGCATATTTTTTGTTCGGCCTTTGGTAAAACAATTCGATAATGGAAGTAACAACACGGCTTTGAAGAAAAGATAGTTCAAACTCTATCGAGGAATTTATCTTGGAAGGTTAGACACATTTATCAGCAGGTCATATAACTTCTGTATTAACCGAGAATAGTAATGAAGGAATGATCAAAAAATAATCCAAAATTGATATTTGGTATAATACGATATAATAATAAAAATAATCGTCGAGTATCGGCTGCTGTGGTGTATTGTTTTAGTCAAGGTTACAGTTGGTTTAAGGTGGTGGCTTCCCTCGGCCCTTGCCTCAGAAACACGAAGACCAGAAAGATTAAAGGAATAAGGAGGAGAAAGGGAGAATTAAGAGATGTTGGCCGGGTTCAGCTAGTCGACACACGGTGAAGGTGGTATGGCTAGGAATCCCCTAGGAAGGAGGAACGAGGTCGTTAGCTGCTACGCGAGAGAAAGACTAGGAAGGGTCGAGGGAAGTTGGCCGGGCAAAAACAACCTAACACACCGACATCTCCTCTCCGGCGCAAGCTTATAATCCTTCTCGTTCCCTCGTACAATTCAATTTTTAATCTTCGCTTGGTCTCTTATTCGATACACCTTGACATATGGTATCCTGTGGGGGGATGATATGATAGTCGATAAAAAACAAGAGAAAAAAAAAGAACAAGAAAATATCCGATATTCAAGATCATCACCCCACCCCCCCAGAGTTCCTACAATCATTTGCTTGATGAGCTTTTAAAGAATTTATGATTCCGGTTGGTATATTTCTGACCGATAATTGAAAAACCGAAGGTCGTAATTTAACTTTTATCCAGAGTTTTTGGAACCACGAGGAATTATTGTTTGAAACGTTTTACGGGGGAAAAAAACAAATCAAACACGAACTTATTGACAACGGTACTAACGAAACTCCCTAACAGATTCTCTTTTGCGAAAAAAAGTTTCCTATCTTCCTAATTTTTGTCTTGGTTTGTTCAAACTTGATTGATGAGGTAAAAAAGGAAGACAAAAAAAATAGAGAGAGAGAGAGAGGAGAAAAAGGAGAAAATGATGAAGCTCGTATCGAACGTTACGCGCTCGAGTTGAGTTTGAACTCAGGCCAAATGGTCCGATTGTTCCCTCGCGAGGTTATCATCGATTAAATTCGTTGGGAGTAAAAAAAGGGAGTTACGCGAAAGGTTATCTCGAGAAAAATCGATTCCGATCATCATGGGAATGGAAATTCGTTACTCGTCGTCAGTAACGCTAATAAAATCCTGCAGCCGAGGAGAATACGAGGATTTGGAAAACGTGGTGTGCACGATCGTACGAACGATTCTTACGATCAGATAATATCGTTTGGGGTTGTTCGCTTAAACGTAATCAGAAAAATTAAGGAACGACGGAGAGATTATCATCTGTCGTTGGGAAGAAAAAAAGAAGAAACCTTTTGTTGCCTATTTGTTGTTTATTTTTATCAAGGGACATGGGGGAAAAAACGTATCGAAGTATAAAATGGTCTTGATTATCGAGGAACTTAATCCCGACCATAATCGTGGGATACCGTAATTGTTCTCGTACAATTGTGACCATTTTGAAAATGAACCTTGGATCGAGTACGGATTGAGGAGAGACGAGATGAAAATAATAGGATCAAAAGGGGAAATTGGGATAGTACGTTGATGATAAAGCAGTGAAAGCATCGTGGGAGTAATGCACCAAGTTTAACCGAAGAGATGACGGTTATGCCGTCGACTTCTGATGTCGCTGACAAAGCAGTCTCAACAAACGATGGTAGCGGCGGCGGCGTGGAGGTGGCACGTCTCGAAGCCGTCCTCGCAGCATTGGTGGAAACAAAGGTGGAGGCGATGAAGGCATCATCGACGATCGGCAAACGTTCAGGGAGTGCACCAACCACTCCACGTCGTCCAAGATTGACCTCGACTTCCACGGCCTCCTCGTCGTTGAACCATCCCCCCCACCACCATCATCATCACCACCATCATCATCATCACCGTCATCAACAACAATATCATCATCATCAACATAGAAGGAAGAGTCATTACCATCATCATCATCAACGTCGTAGACGACACGATTCAGCTCCCTGCGATTACATCGAGGACTCGATGAATCGTCATCAACAACACAAATCGCATCACGGTGAGTATTATTTATTTTCATTGAATTCATTTAAATATCTTCGTTTGATTTTCGATCTTTATTTACGCGTATTTTTGACGAGGAACTTTAGCTTCGAAAATTCATACGGAACGCAAGCAAACACAATGCTTTGTAGTAACGTTCAACGATCAATTTGAGAAGTCTATTATTCAAGAAGGTTGGCTATTTGACTCCAAGAGAAATCCAAACGTACGCGTTCAAGACGTTTTCCTTGAAAATAAAAGTCAATGGATAACCAAGAATAGCTCGTAAGAAAGTTCGAGGACCCAGTACTGTGAACTTCTTCGGTAAGAATATCGAGCTGTAGTATTGGGTAGGAAGTTTGTGTTAAAAATAAGCCAAGCGAAAACTCTTATACGAGTGTTTAAACTTTATTCAAAGGAAAGAGTATTCTTATAATTAACATTCCAATATTAATGGAGATATATTAAAATGGTAATTAAATTATATTAGAAAAGTTATTTTTCAGACATACGTTCGAATATTTTCAATCATTGTATTATTAATTTTCATTTCAAAAGTTAACCCAACGAAACTATATTTCTTTCTCTCTGGCGAGATAGAACGCTGAGGGAGACTCGTCAGTAGCAAAGTAAACCAATTGCATGGAATTTACATGCGTATCCTATGCGGGAAGCCAACTATGAAGTTGATATTCGATCGTGCAACCACTTCGTTAATTTATCCAACCCTCTGGTTATTCGATATCCCTGGCGAAATTTTGCGGATAAACTTAGTTTCAAAAGGAAGCTAATATTTTTGTTTCTTCCTGCCCTACACCCCTTCCTCCCTCTTTTCATTACGCGTAATACGTTTTAATCAACATTTTACTCTCACTTTATTAAACATTATGTCGAACGATAACCAAGGATGTAAATAAGTCGAATGATAATTAACGAAAATTAATTAACGACATAGACACAATGAAATTCGGTTAATTAGAAATAACTATAATAGATTTGGATATCGATTGGTGGTTATTTCTATTTTTAATTAACGTCTAATCGATTTTAATTAACGCTTAATTCGATCCTGTTCAATATAAACGAGTATTAATGGTTGATTGGTTGTGTCTACGTGTGTCCTTTGTATTCCGCGCGAACGAGATAAATCGATAAGAACATTCGGGCCATCGAAATTTTCGGATAAAATCAGTAGTGTCCCATCCCTCTCACCCTTTGCCGATTGCGAAGATGATAATTTCGATGAGACGAGGAAGAAGAAAAGAAAATGAAAAATGATAAAAAAAAAGAAAAAGATAAAAGAGGAGAGATCGAAAGATTGGGTCAATTGTTCTTTTTGTCTGTGTGTACTTTTAGGTAAAGGAAGAAGAAGAGCTTCGGAGAGTCCACGAAGTCCACGGAAAAAACGTAGACATTCTTCTAAGAGTCCTCGTCTACTTCAAAGTAACTTGACGGATATTCAAGCTGGTCTCGAAGCTGGTCTCGAAGCTGGTCTCGAAGCTGGTCTCGAAGCTCGTCTCGAAGCTGGTCTTGAAGCTCGTCTCGAACTACTCGACATCAACGGGGAACAAGATTTGGCATTGATAAACTTTAAAAGGACAAGAGAGGCTCTTAGCGACTCCTGCGAGTATCCGCGACTGCACCGAAGTGCCTGCAACTTTTCCCAAAGCACAGCTCAATTGTAAGTCTTAGAAAAAAAAAACACACACACACACATATGCTCCTTCCATTTAGTTTCTTTTTTACCTTAGACGGTTCTTAAAAAAAAAAAATACAAAAGAAAAACCCTCGGTTAATGTAGCTCTTTGCACGCGCGCTTGTTTGTGTATGTATTTTTCATTTCAAGTTAAGTCAACGAACACGATGCACACTCGCCGTTTTAATGACTCCCAAAGTTTCCTAAAAATATAAAATAAACAGATACTATATTTTTTAGTTTACATTAAGCTATCATCATTTTCTTCTTCTTCTTCTTCTTCTTCTTTCTATAGTCTACTTTAAATAAAAATTTCCTACAAAAACAAGAAATGTTTTAGCAAAAGTGGGTCATGCGTGATAGTTGATGATGTTCGTCTTATTCGTAGTTATGATGTATCGTTGGAGAATGAAGAAAGATTGAACGAGTTCTCGAATAAAATAGGAATGAACCAATGTTGAATTGTGTAATGAAACTACGCCGGTTGGAAATAGATAACCAGCTGCTACTTCAATGTTGAAGGTATTCTCGTTGGGATGGTCCGATGATGATGCCTTTCCTTACCTTCGTCATGATCATCATCATCATCATCGGAATTTCGATCTTTTTTCTACGACGCTTTTCATCCGTGAAATCCTGTATTCTAACTTTTATCTATCGGTAGAAAGATAGAGAGAGAGAGAGAGAGAGAGATAGTAACATGTTGTAACCTTTATACTCGTGACGTATGCGAGCAAACGCCCTGAACGCCGAGCTATTCTTCGTTGTCCAACTCAATTTTAAACTGAATCACTCGCCGTCTCTCTTTCTCTCTCTCTCTCTCTCTCCCTGTTAAAAGCGCTTTGATGTAGAAACTCCCCCGGTTTACAATCTATTTTTCTTCCGTTCTTATTTTTTCTTTTTTTCTTTTATTAAGTACAGTCAAAGCAATAAAACGGACGGATGAACGAACGAAATGAAATGTATTTTTCGAAGCTCGATAAAAAATTTATTGCACCCGAAGAATCGATTCTTTTCCTTCCTCCCCTCCCCCTGCCATCTTTCCGATCCTATCCTTTCTTTGATTAAATTTCAATTGTTTATAAGATTTCTTTTTATCCCCACGGTAATTATTTATAGTATCCAATTTTTATCGAGTTTTCATCGAGTTTTGTTGATGGACGCGGCAAATGTTTTTATTGCAAAAGAAAGGAATTTTTATATTACAACGGTTATCATTGGTATTACGTTTAACGCTTGCGTAGAAAATCGATCAAGTTCCTGAGAAAATTATGCAAATACAGTTGGGAAGCTTAAGGTAGAAAATACTAGCTGGCCTCTATTTCTTTGTCTGACTTAACGTCGACCCGTACCACTTGACGTAGTTTCTAAAGTAGCGATTCTTAACTCTAGGCATTGTCGACGAAGTCAAATCTGGGTCGGGTGAACATTTGTGGTATCAGGAAAAATTTCAACTTTGTATAATCGATTCTTCTATTTTGCCCCTCCTCTCTCTTTTTCCTTTTTTTTAATTTTATTTATTTATTCATTTTTTTATTCTACTTCTCCAGGAATATTTTATTAATTACGAATGACAATGTGCAAATGAAGATAATCTATCTTTTAGCTAGCATTTATCAATTATTTATGTTTTATTTAAATTTTCCATCTTTCTTTCTATCAGGAAAAAAGATCGTTATCCAGATTTAGTTTTATATCGTTATTTGTAGTATATATATATATATATCACGGTATAGTAAAATCGAATAATAATGCATGATTTAGGGGGGTAAGGGGAAGAAACGTTGCGCTTGATAACGTACGTCATCGCTTACGACGAGGAGAATTATAGTTTTTAAAGCGCATCTTGACCTTTACATGCCTGCTCATACTAAACTCGAACAGCTATGTACAACGTCAAACGATTATTATACATGCGACTTGCATAAAGCTCGTTGTCATTCGTAATGGAATAGAAGGGAACGAATTTAGTTGGAAAGAGATAGTTTGCTCCTATGTTAAATGGTAAATTTAATAATTTCGAACAGACGTAACTCGTCGGAATGACATAAATATTTGAGAATCATAACGCATCCCCATCACAGTTGAATGATATTCCGGAAATAGAATAGATGTTACGAAGTCGAAGATCAGATCGTTTAGAAAATCTCGTACCACTGCTAAATATAACTTTCTAACGTTCCAACACTAACAGATCATTCGATTCCTCCTTCTCGTCTACTCGAACGACAGGAATAAACATTAACTTGTCAGATTTGCCGAACAATGCAGCCCCATTTTGATCGATAGAGGAGGTACTCCTACAACCACATATACATGCATACACATATATACTTACACCGTGCTCTTGCATTTTCTTTAGTCGTTAACAATAAGAACTAACACGTTGGCGAATAACAGAAATGACTTATCGTTTCTCGTTGCCGAGAACGCTCGAGAAAATAGGCAAGTTTTAATTAAAAGGATGTAAAAGGGAATGTAAAAGATCTTCTCATTTCAACCGTTTTGAATATCGAAGTTTTACGGAACACTCCGAGGTGTATTATTATATTCAAATATAAGATATTTGATAAGAAACTTAGGACGATTCAAGTTTCCTGGCACTAAACTTTTCGTACGCTCGTTTGTTCAAATACGAATCTGTATTTTTCATATTAGTAACTGTTTTCGCAGGAAGATTCATTACGACGAGGACGAGGATTATTTGGCGTTGAACATAGCCGATGAATTGGAAGAGGAGGAAACATTGAGCGGTCCTGAAAAAATTCAGGAACCACGAGAGACTTATCATAGGCCGAGAAAAAAGCGAAAACGAAAGCGACGAAGAATCGAGTCGGTTGAACCGGAGGAGGAAATAGTTGGTCCGGATGAACTACCACCTCGTGCCAGGTGGACTATTGTTGCCACGGCTTGCCTACTTTTGGCTATGTCCTTGCTTCTGGTCGGAGTCACCCTCAGAATGGCACCGATCATCGATGACATGGGTAAGCTTTATCCTAAATCATATCGTTCGATCTTCATTTTGTTTTTTTGTGGGAGGGTGGGGGGTGGAGGGGCATACGGATTCTGATTCAAACATGCGAAAGCTCTACGAATTTTTCATTCGGAACCTCGTTTCACTGTATTATCGATGCTATCGATTTTGCATTTAAAATTCGTATTGTGCATCGCGAATATGGAATAAATTTCATCTCGGCTAAAAGTTGGTTCCGACTGAATTTCAAACTTTTCCCCTCGAATCTAACTTATCCCAACGCTTCCAGTTTTGACATTACTCGAACTGTTCTACATTATCAACGCCTCATTTCCGGAATATCACAATTCTATTCCAGAAAAAAAGTACAACCATTTTCCCGAGATCTACGTCTTTTTTGGACTATGAACTTGAAGAAGAAAAAAAAATAGAGAAAGAGAAATAAAATGATCCGTAAAGTAGAAATATCAATTTTTCTCTTATACAAAAGAAGGAAAATAAAAAAAGAAAAGAAAAGAAAGAAGAAAAAGAAAACATAGAGAAAAAGAGAGAGAGAGAGAGAGAGAGAGAAAGAGAGAGAGAGCTTTGGATTGGGAACACGAAGAAGAGGAATTTATTTCAAAAGTATTCAGAAAATGCTCGGTCCGACATCATAAAACATTGAAATCGTCCTCCCCAAGGGAAAACACCGAGATGCCAAGATGAAATTGCAAGCAGTGTCAATCTTTCAATACGAATTTTATCCTTGAAGGTTCTCGCGATTCGTCGATAGAGGAAACGACGCTTTTATTTGGTATCTGAACGAGGTAGCGACACCATCTACCGTCCGAATGGATTAGATGTATTACCTACCATGAATCAAGAATAAAGAAAAATCATATTTCGTTCTAAATGATTCTAAGATTAAGAACGTTCCTAACGTCGTTGTAACCGATTTAATTGAACAAGCAAATTCAAAAAAAAATCAACTCGACGAAACTAGCTCTGATCCTGGTAACTCTTAGAGTGTTACCAAACAAGAAAAAAGAACTCTATACAATTATCAAAAAGAAAGAAAAGAAAAACGAAATAAATGGAAGACAAAAGGGGATGGACTTTGTTAGCCAAATTAACAGGCTTGTTCGTTCCGCTACACGATAAAGTTACTTCTACAAAAACGTATATAGGAAATACGGAGAGAAAGAAAAAAAAAAGTAAAAAAGTAGATAAATGGAATGAGAAAATAGTATCTAGCTAGAATTTCGTTAGTTTTACATTGTGATTTCGGTATGTGCACGTATAACACACAAAACACAGATCCCAGGTAGAAATGGCGTAGGTAGATGCACCGTATGCTGCTGCGAGCTTGAGAGCGCTCCACGCCTCTAAATTAAAGGCGCACGTCTGCGAATCCTCCAGTCGACCGTCGGATTTCCGTGGTAGAACCGCTTCGAAGTCGACACTCCTGTGCTTTTCTCATTTCGAAAACCTTTCCCGATCCAACCACTTGCTTTCCTTTTCCTTCCCTCTCTCTCTCTCTCTTTCTCTACTCTATCTCTCTATGTTTCTCTCTCTTTCACTCTCACTCTTGTGCGGAAAGTCTCTACAAAGTGTGTCGAGTTCGATATCCTTCGTGTCATCACGTCTAAATCCTTTGTCGTGCAAAGCAAGAGAGCTTTTGTGAATTCCCACGATTTCTATTTTATCCCCGAGCACGTTCGCTTCTAAACGTGTACGTGTGCGTGTGTTGTTTGTTGTGTGTATGCGCGTTTGCGTGTGTATTGTTTTATCTATTCTTTTATTTTACATGCAAGGATTATCATCTTTGAATAAAGAAGAATCAATTCGACAGGTAGTGAAGAGTAGCTTCTTTTTTGTCGTTGTTGTTGTTGTCGTTGTTATTGTTGTTGTTTTTGTTGTTGGGGAGTGTATGTGCATTTTGTTAAAGACACGTGAAATGAGTGAAATGTTTAGTTGGATTTTCGGATTAAATATTTTCTTGACATCACTCGTAAACTAACATGTTTTTCAACGTTTCAGAATATACAAGGATGATCATAGTTTTTTATTAGTTTTTTTTTTTTTTTATCTTGGTAGAAAATATTTAATTTTGATTACATCAAAAAGGAGAATGCATTTAGAAAGAGTATATCAAAAATTTTATTCGTTTCCCGTAAGAAGTGCAATTCGGTGGTACATAGCGCGATATCGCTTCCGGAGAAATGCAGTTCCAATGAATGCATCGTAGAGGAGCGTAGATCTGAAGTAGAAAAATATTTAACTGTAGAAATTAGTAAGGTGTATTACGCTTCGTTGTAAATTTGTTCGCGCGCGCGTGTGCCTGTATATGCGTTAATGCTTTTTATTTCCCTATCGAAAAAATAATTTATCTGCTAGGTAAAATTCTATTACTAAACGTAAATGAACATTCTTCCTTTCTCGCTCGTTAGTTTTAAAATGATTTTCACCTATTTAATTATTCGTTTAATTAGTAACTTGCAAAAACACATTCCTATCTTCTTTCTTTTTTTTCTGTAATATTTTAATAGCATTAATATTTATAATCAATGTTTCTTGGTAGTAGTTTTAGTATTAGCAGTATCAAAAGCAGACGTTGTCCCAATTGATTTTCATTCCCCAAAGTAAGATCATTAATCTTTCCATGCATTTCAACTAGGTCTTCATAGTTCGTGTGTCTTATACCCTAACAGGTGTTCTCTATGGAATAACATAAAGTTACCTTAGATATTATTTGAATTATTCTAAATTGATCGTTAAATATATGAACATTTCTTTTTATGTCTAGTAACAAAAAGATACAAATTTCATTATTTTTCAAAGCGATTTTATTCGACAAGATTAATCACGTGGCATAATAAATATCTTCGAAACTTTTCGCAGGTTAGTCTTACTGCGTTTCCGTAACATCTCTAATTATAGGAACTCTCTCGATATTCGAAAAGTAAAAATAGGAGTAAGTTGCCGAGTAAGGTAGGTCGGGTTCGTTAACTTTCATTTTTTTTCTTTGAATATTTCATTTTTTTCTTTTAATTATTCCGCGAGTTTAGAAGTACCGGAATATAATGTATCAAATAACTACAATAAAATTAATAAGAGAAGTGTTAGATAAATTCGACAGATAAAAACATCCATGAGAGAATCGAATCTTTCTGGTATGAATTTTCATCGTTGTTATCCAAAATTCGCGATCGTTGATTATTATTCGCGAACGACTGATCATTTTCTTTTCTTTTTCTTTTTATCATCAATTTAGTTGAATCCTTTTTAAAAGAAACGACAACACTATCCACCCAAAGTTCAATTCAATAATTGTCCGAATAGAACAAAGACACGACCCACTTCCGACAAAAATTTCATCGACGTGGGGTTCATTATTTTTCTGCTCGACATGACGTGTTCTCTCTCTCTCTCTCTCTCTCTCTCTCTCTCTCTCTCTCTCTCTCTCTCGATCCACATATTCTCATGTAGTACTAACCTAAAAATAAATCTGGAATTTTAAAGGCAACCCGCGAACTTTTTCTATATGTTTTCTTTAACTCGCGATTTGATGCTTCTTGTAACCAGAAGAGAAAAAAACAATCGGTCGAAAATGGGAGACAAAATTTTATCGTCCTTTTCCTTCGACGGTGGTAGTAGTAGTTCTTTTTATATATTTTTTTTTCGTCTCTTTTTATTTATTCTCTCTACCTACGTCATAGTTGGTAAAATTCGTACAACTTTTCTGTTTTACTTTTACAAAACTTCGATTATAAAGTATCCAAGTTCGTGGAAGAAAGTAGTTTCGTTGTCATCAGGCCCCAAATTTATGCCAACAAGCTCATATTTAACAGGAATAAGAAAGAGAGAGAACTCGTTTGTTCGAAACATAACATTTTGGTATAATATTTCTTTATGTCTAGTGTCCGTTGTTAACAATGTTAAAATACTTTTATTTATAAGAAGAATCAGGTCGAATATACGAGAAGCAAGATCTGATTTTCTTTCGAATGCCTTTCAATTTTTACGTTGGTCATTAAAAAGACGAATATAGATTGGTATCATCGTTCTTGACGTTTAACCGAACTACCAATGATACTTTCTACTTTTTGCATGTCTAAAGTTGTTCAATAAAAATCCACGGTTACTTTGACCGGTCTCTTGAATTATTATTTCAAGTCCAATTTCTTCGAGAATATTAGACAAAAGTAAGGAGAATATATGATCGTGACTCGTTTTTAAATTTTAATCGATATTTTTTGCAACATCTCTGTGCTCAGCAATTATTTTATATTAAATAATTAAAATTAAAAAATGAAATAAGAATTATTTTAATAGAATTAGCATCAGATAAATATAAACTTATTGAATTAATAGACAAGAAGATATTATTAAGACTCCTAATAAATTTCGAACAATAAAAATATTATAACAGGATTAAAATTCGTTATCGGATTAATTTAATTTTTGCTAAATTAGCATAACGGGAAAATTTGTAGAGATTATTATTAAAAAATGAGTATCGTGTACAAAAGCGTCGTAAAAATAAGTTTATTAGACTTAATAAGCAGAGAGATATATTTAGAATATTTAAGCATTTTTTTACTACAAAAAATGAGTTTATCTTATTACTCATTTCATCCAAGTATGAATTCGCATAAGATAGTCTCTCTCGTTATCCTTAAAATTATACAAGTAAAAATACATGATTCATCTTTCCTAAGAGCTTTCATTTATTGAATTTTTCATTACGGGTCAAGGAAAATTAATTGTTCCAATTGATCTCCCTTTCCTTTTAGATATTCGATACTTTTTATCATTTACGAGAGCTTACAATGGTCGGGTCGCGTAGACCCCATATTTATTTTTAGTAAAGAGAGACAAATGTGTAATTTCAAATTCAATCCTATTAAAAGATTTATTAACAATGTAAAAGTCCCTTCTACTTGTTTAATTCATCTTTCATCTAAATTCTTTTCATCGAGTGCATCACCAAATCGAATCACTTGGAATAAAGACAACGATACATTAAAC